CAGACAGCCTGCATTTTGGGATAATTACAGTAATCACCGTTTGAAGAATAAACTAGATGGAATGCATGTGTCTTCCATTTTTCAGAAGAACAGTTTCTCACAGCTTCAGACCCACACCTGAGCAGACACAGCTGCAAGCACACACACCCACAAGCAGACGCCGGCTGCAGGAATGAGTGGAATCGATGAGGAACGTTTGAACTTTACGCCCGTCTGTAGCTCCGACTCACACTCCGTACCTACCTGTGCGCCGCGCTGATGCACGTCTACCGTCAGCGGCCTCTGTCAGAGGCTGAATCTGCTGCAGGGAATTTTGGGAATCTCAGCTACGCTGAGCCTCTCACTGCCACTCCTCCCTCTCTCACACACACACACACACACAGACACACACGGCCCTCATTTTGTTTATACAGAGACATGGGGGCTGGACGCCCTTCCCTCAGAGAAAACAAAGATGAGATACAGGTAAGAAGTCATCCGGAGAGATGCAGACGGGGCCTAGCGTGTGAGTGCAGGACCGGAGCAGAGGTGGGGCTATTTTTGGAGCAGAGGAGGATTCACCCAATGAATTTACATAACTGGAATTCCTCCCGTGTTAACACCAAAAACAGATTTCTCCTGCTGCTATAAGGAGGCTAACCCCCCACAGGTGAGCTGGAATAACAAGGTGCTGGTTTTAGTCTCCGGGGACCAGGTTAATCCTTCCTGTTCACGACTTTCCTGCAGCTAATCTGGGCTCAGCCGGGTCCTGAAAAGGACATTTTAACTTCAGTTCATGCAACAACTTTTCACACCATTGGCTGTGTGTAGCATTTACGCAGGACCCATCTCAGACTAAACCCTCAGAGGGGTCAAAGGAAAAGGAAAGAAAGTTTCACTGCAGTTTTTGACTTCTTGAAGCAAAAACAGATGATTGTGCAAGCAGGAAAGCATCTTCCCATCTCCTACGGCATAAAAAGGAGGTTTTTGGTGATTTTGAAAGTTTAAAAAAACATCAAAAAGAGGAGCACATCGCTGCCTCGTGCCATTTCCGCATGTGTGGGTTTTCTCCCACGGACCAAAAACATGCATGTTAGGTTGACTGGTGGCTCTGAATTGTCTCTGTGTGTCCTCGTGATGGACCGGAGACTTGTCCAGGATGTTGTCCCCCCACCTCTCACCTGGTGACCGATAAAAAGTGAGTTGCCCCTTCTTTCCACCAGAGCCGTCAGCAGCACGTTACTGCAGCAGCACGTCTTGCTCGCGTAAGCTGCTGCTTGGCCCTTCCCACGAGACGCGAAGCAGCAGGGGAGCAGCTGTCACCGACCGAGCACGAAGTCACACGAGTGACGTCGTCAGTAAACACAACAACAAGCAGGAGAAAACTACAACATGGCTCCAAAATGTTTGTGTTTTATGTTCTGTCCGTTTTATAATCGCCAATACGGCTCTGAAACACAAAGGAGACCGCTAGCTAGGTGATAACTTCTCACGGGGCCGCACAGTTAGTAACCTTTTTTAAAGTAAAGCAACCAGAAGGCAGTACGTTCTTTATTCTGAAAATCTCTGGAGTTTCGCTCCGTTTCCGCGTCCGATTTCCTGTCTTTCCTTAAAATGTCGAACTTGACCCGTTTCAGAGGCGTCGCGTGTAGAAAATAGAACCGGCGCGTAAAGGCCGCGACATGCTGCTCCTGAGACGCGGCCGACTCGCGCTGCTGACGGCTCCGGTGGAAAAGGTTCTGTTGACCACAGCGGTTCCTATCAGCAGCTATGACGTGCTGCTGCAGTAACGTGCTGCTGACGGCTCCGGTGGAAAGCCGGGGTTAGATGTTGTAAACGTTTCCTCTTTTGAGTTCAAATCCTTCAGGACTGATGAGCTAACGGCTAGTCCCAAGATCAAAGACCTAAAGTCTTCTGTCCGTTTCACTGTAAAAACCTTTATTACGCCGAGGCGTTGTTGTTTACAGATAAAAGTATCAGCTGTTGCAGCAAAGTGTGTCTTTTCTGTTGCACCCAGGGCTCGATCCAGCAGGGGTTTCTTCATATCTCCACTAAAACTGTAACAAAAACCAAAACTGTCCGCTTTGAAACGTTAATGAAACTGAGTTTGCTTTAAATTATGCAAAATGTGGACGATCTGAGCCGTTTTAGGGATACAGGTGGCGGCGTTTGGACTAGCCAATAGCCTATCAGTCTCTTTGTCTGAGCAGATGTTGTTGAGAAAGTTATCAATGGCATCATGAATATCTGTAAAAGACAGAAATGTTCCTTTCAATCAGCTTTAGCCTAAAAAAAATCCAAGAAAAATGATGTTTTCCTGATTCCTGCAGGGAAACCGCCGTTCCACCACGGAGCCGAAATTGTAACCTAGACGATGAAAACTGAGAACAGGTGTGCAGCTGCCTTTCACAGCAAATCCCTTCTCCACAGGTGTGTGTGTGTGTGTGTGTGTGTGTGTGTGTGTGTGTGTGTGTGTGTGTGTGTGTGTGTGTGTGTGTGTGTGTGTGTGTGTGTGTGTGTGTGTGTGTGTGTGTGTGTGTGTGTGTGTGTGTTTTGGCAGAGCGAGTGAAATTAAATACATCATATCTCACTTTTGTGAGGAGAAAAGCGACCGAACGGCGGCACACCCACCCCCCACCCCATGGCTGCTTTCCTACACTCCGGTTTTCAGCTCACAGCGGGCGTCCTCGGGAGCTTCAGAGAAAACATTTGGAGAACTTTACCTCCTGGAACAGACACGCAAGCTGTGCACAGAGTTTGATTAGGTGTTGGGTCTACGAGGAGGTCCTCTACTCAGATAAAAGCCATTTCTACTTCTGAAGCGTCCGACTTCCTGTCCAAAGACACTTTTAGACCTCGAGTTTAGAAATGTGCAACAGCATTTTGTTGCTACTAAGTCCTGATACAGCTCCTCCTAAAATACTTTTCTAATTTGTTTCATTTGAGCTGAAGGATGACGAAGCAAACCAAGAACCTTCATTTCAGAGAAACAAGCTCCTTCGGGCTTTTCAGCCTAACTGGACCAACAGAACTTCAAGTATACATGTTCACATCCTTCATGGCCTCCTCGAACCCTTCTCTTTCACACCCACACAACAAAACGCTTTAGCGTATCATCTGCATGTCATGAGTCTGCTGTTTGTCCCTCTGAGTCTCTTTGCAGGCGGGCGTGTCGGAGAGCCTCAGCTGCGGCTGATTTCCCATCAGCAAGGCCAGGGGATTTAAGGAGTGGCGTGTCCACACTCCAGCGCCGGTTGATACTCTCACCTGGGTAGCCTCCAGCCTCGTCCTGAACTTGTAATATTTTTGCAATCTTGCCCTGCTTGTCCTGTTTTTAATTGCCTGTCCTGCCTCCAGATCTACCACCGGATCCCAGCCTGAGTTCTCGTCTTTCCTGGAGTGTGAACCTCAACATCGTCACTCATCTCCCCTGGCCCTCTGCTCTCCGCCGTTCACCTGCCCTGGATACCTGTCAGCCACAGCCTTCCTGCCTCAACCCAGTTCTCCATCGACCGGACCTGACCAACCCTCTGCTCACATCCATCCTCTGTTCTGGCTCCGTAAGATCTCCCTTCCCTCTGTTTATATCTGGTTCTCTCGTTCCTGGTCTGACCTCCATGTGTTTTTCTATTTTTTAGACCCCGGCCCGGTTTCCGCTTCATCGAAGTTTCACCCTTAGTTCCTGTTGGCTTTTTCCAGCACCCGTTTGGAGCTGCGTCCTCTGTTTATTTTTTCATTTAATAAAACCATATTCTTATTTCTTACCTCCTGATTCTTTCATGTGGGTCAGGAAGCTTCCTGCGATCATAACGCTGCAATCACAATTTGTCCCCAACATCTAGGGTGATCATTAGATGGAATTCAAACATGCAGACACACCAAACTGCTCAGAGTGACGCACCGATCCGGATCTCAGACCACTCTTGGATTACAGCGGAGATTACAGCTAGTATCTAACCGTTTCTGCAACAATCTAAAGACTTGCAGAATGTCAATGCAAACACAAATAAGAGAGACAGAGTGGGAGGTTTCCAGGATTCCTATAAACAGCTGAGAGGGAAGGAGTGCCGGAGATGACAGCTTAACAAGCTCATAACTCAGCTTCAGTCTGCGGAGTCCGGCTGCTTTGTCATCTAGCTGAGGTGCTGACAGGAGAAGCGTCACTTCGACGTCCAGGCGTCGAGTTGATCAGACACCTGCGTGAGCCACGGTTCTTCCATTTTCCCTCTGTAATCTGAGTAAATTCTGAGGGAATGTGGGATTAGATTACAGCTTTGATGTGAATTCAAGCTGATTGTGTAAAAATCTAGTAAACACGACATCGCCAGGAAGGGGCAGAATGAGTAAATCTGACACACAACATAGATTTAGCTTCCTGTGTTTTATGTAAATAACATACAACCAACAGCGCCTAAACCAGGTGATTTATGAGACTTACTGAAGATGTTTGGCGGTTTTAGTTACTTGCAGCGGCCATCGGCGCCCTGATATAAATAAAAACAACTATTATTGAGTTTTTCTGATGTTCTCATAAAGAAACAAGCAAAATCGGGTGAATAGCTGCCCAAAAACCAGATTATGACAGGGTCTGAGCCAATAAACTCACTTCCTGTCTGAATAATCTGGGTTAAAGCAGATCCATTCCAAACAGGATCGACCTTAACCTCTGACCTCTGATTTAACATCAGTATGGATTCTTTTGTCTTCTTCCTGAACCTGAGAGCTTGCATCTCTTCTGTTGGGTTTGCTCTGCTTCCTTGTTCCATCAGAGCAGGATGACAGGAGCTCAGGTCAGCTGCACCTGCTGACGCTCTTCTGTGCGCAAACGTGGATTTTGTGTTTGGGATAATTAGCTGTCCCTACCTGTCCCGTCTCGCCTCCCTCCCCGCCCCTCCTCACACCGTTTTGACATACAGATACTATAGAACTTGAACGTGTCCGGGTGCTAAACCCCGCCCGTGGGCCGGCCCCCGCAGAGGCAGTATATTATAGCAGGACACGCATGTCTCCGGAGACAAATCCGTGTCGTGCAGCTCTCCGAGGCTCGGCTCAGAAACTCTCCGACGCATCAGTGCTGAACACCTGCTCCGCGCAGCCTCCGGGTCTCCGACGGTTTTGGGGGAGAAATAATGAAGCTGGAAGTTTTCTCAGCGCACCACTTCGCGCACAAGCCGGTGGAGTTGTGCATGGAGCCAGACGGGGGAGTCCCCTCCCCTCTGTCCGGGGACGAGCTGGGGTCTGACGGGGACTTCGTGGCCAACAGCCCGGCACCTGTCAGCCAAAGCGGGGAGGGCGGCAAGGGCAAGCCGTACACCCGCAGACCCAAGCCCCCCTACTCCTACATCGCTCTCATCGCCATGGCCATCCGGGAGTCCAGCAGCGGCCGCCTGACTCTGGCGGAGATCAACGACTACCTGATGAAGAAGTTCCCGTTTTTCCGGGGCAGCTACACCGGCTGGAGGAACTCCGTGCGCCACAACCTGTCACTCAACGACTGCTTCCTGAAAGTGCTGCGGGATCCGTCCAGACCGTGGGGGAAGGACAACTACTGGATACTGAACCCGCACAGCGAGTACACCTTCGCTGATGGGGTGTTCCGCCGCAGGAGGAAGCGCATCGCCAAGCGCGCCCCAAAGGAGCAGGAGAGCCCGTACATCCTGAGCGAGGACACCCGCCTCCCTGCTGCGGAGGAGAGGGTGGGGGCCAAGTTCTCCAGCTCATTCGCCATCGACAGCATCCTCAGCACGCCCTTCAGACGGAGGGAAGACGGCCACCCTGACCCGGAGAACCCCAACCCGCGGGTGTACTGGTCCCCAGGGGCCCACATGCTACCTTACACCCTGAACTATCCGGTCCCGAACACGTTCGTGTCCGCGGCGGGCTACGGCAGCACAGAACCGGGCCGGGACCCTAACCTGCAGCGGGGCATGGCCCCACCTGAGCCCGCCTTCAAGGTGCCCAGCAAGCGGCGCGGTTTCCTCATAGACTCCCTGCTGTCATGAAGCTCGTGGCCTGCTGTCACACCTGCGTGCACTTTTTGTGGGCGCGCGCAGCTTCGACGGCTGAAGCGTGCTGGACTCAGTTTGTGACCAAACTACTGTAAAGTGGAAAAACAAACATGGCGTGTTGTCAAAACAGCTCCGGCTGCGTGGTGACGAACCAAAACATTCGAGTCAGCGCAGGACATTCCTCCGTGTGCGTGCGTGCGCGCGTGTGTGTGTGTGTATTCATGGTTCATTGGTCATTTCTCTTGTTTGATGGTAACCATGTTAAAGTCTTTATTTATATTTGTATGTTTTGTATGAACTGCTGTGTGTTAATTATAAACTATTGACCAGCTGCGTTAGAATCACGCACGAACGCGTTTTCCAGAGACTGATTGGTTGACAGGTGGATTGATGCACGCTTGGTATTTTTTTTAATAAAAACCTGAAAAAACTCTGATTTTTCTCGTTTTATGATTTTATAAATAAAAACAGAAACTTCTTAGGTGTGTTCTTGATGTGTCGTGGTTCTAATTCCATGCTTTCGTTCTTTTTAAACACAGAAACAGTTTTGTTTACTTGTTTTGTAGCTACGTTTCGCCCGGCGAAACGTAGCTACAAAACAAGTAAACAAAACTGTTTCTGTGTTTAAAAAGAACGAAAGCATGGAAAACAGAAACTTGTTTTGGGACAAAGGAGAAGAAATGCTTCTTTTAGAAATAAAGTCATCACAGTAAACGTTCGCATCAGTGTTTAATCTATTAACATTCCCACCTGTTTACTTCATTTAAAACAATGTGACGTCACACCAAAACACAACAGGCCCAACAGAATAAACATTGCTCGGAACATCGGGCTGTTTTGTTCTGTGTCCCGTCCACATAAAGGTCAGAATGCGAGATCATTCTGCTCTGCTAGTCAGACTGCAGCTGCATTTCTCACCGAACATGTCAAAGAAACTAGCTCAGAGCTTTCAGAGGTTCAGCTATCAACCCCGCCTCTCAGAGACCAGAGAGAATGATGCGTAAAGGCGCTTCATCTGTCCATGAACGCGTCAGAGCCTCTTATTGGACCGGATCGTTGTTTCATCAGAACTTGATGCAGGTTAATATTAAATTAATTCAAACACGATTCAGTGATGATTATAAACAAATGAGGTGGGGTAGAGGTGACGCACCACACGGAGCGTCCAGTTGCTCTCCACGGTCCTGAAACGGACCCCGGACTCAAGAGCCGTCTGCTGGGCTCAAACATCCCAGAATAATCCCGTTAAAGTCACCGTTTTTTTTCTGTTGCGCAGATTAAATTAAAGTTTAAAATCTGTATCTGTGCACACCGATGTGACATAAAAAATTACTGATGTATTTTTATTATGATCACAACACGCCCTGTAGGTTATAAATTGTAAGTCGCTCTGGATAAAAGCGTCTGCCAAATAAATAAACAAACATTTTGATATTAAATGTATTTTTACACCAAAATATCATTAATGGGAATAATTTTTTTCCAGATTAATAAATATTTTAAATGTGGCCTTTGTTTTTTTTATGTGTAGCTGAAATTTGAATTTATTTGTTCTACTGGAATAAGTGACGTAAATATCAAGTTTCAGAATTTTTCTGATTATTTTTTGAGTTTACGATGAAATAAAACAGAATTTTATAAAATATGTGTTACTTGTACGCAAGAACTCAAACACATTTAGATTTCTATATTTATTATTTAACGTGTGAGCTCCGAACCTGCTGCTGGCCCTCGCTGGGTTTGTCAGAACCAGGTGGGTGTGAGACAGGTGACAGGTGAAGGTGAGACTCGCTTCTGTTTCAAGGGACAATGCTGCAACCTGCAGGTGAAACATCGGAACAGCACACCTGTCTGAGGTGCTGTCACGTGGCCCCAATTGTCTGAATCTGTCACTTCTGTGTGCCGCTTGCGCATGCTTCAGCCGTGCGTCTCTGTTGGAGTCGCGCGGTGCAGCTGGAGGAGGAACAGATGGCGGTCCGGGCTCATAGAGCTGCAAGAACAGTCGAAGGCACAATGTTAGGAAGTCCCAGCAGTCCTTCACTCCGGCAAAGTGAACCGCGCCTGACCTCTCAGAGTCCCGCAGAGGCAGCTCCAAAGCTCCCGGCACCGCCACAGGAAACGCAGGACAAAAGCCCGGCAGAAAATACATTACAGTAAAAAAGGCCTCCGCGCGGAGGTTCAACTGTTTCTATTTTTCTGTTTCATCACAATAAATATATACTTGTCCACAAAAACCTCATTTAAAAAAAAACCATTAATAGTTTCTGTTCTTATCATAAATACGTTTTAATTCAGAGGTTTTATTTCTATTTCACCAGAACTCACCCAGACCGGACACAGTCCAGAACCTGGTCAGAACCTCCGCTCAAAGACACAGCAGCTTCTCAATCAGACGCAACTGTCGCTGCGTGTTTCCGGCGGACAAAATTAGAAACCGGTTCGGTCCGGAATCCGCGTCTTCAAAGCGTCCAGAACAAAGATCTCCTCAGCAGACCGACGCATCCTGATCTCAGCGGGGGTCAAAAAGTTCTGATGTTGCAGGAAATTTCTGGGGTCGATGCGGGCCTCCGAAGCGCGTGCGCGCGCGCGCCGTGGACTGAAATGGTTGGATCCGCAACGCCGTTCGAAGGTTACTGCAAACGTTACTGTTTGGGAAATGTTACAAAACATTAAACCAAATAATCTCTTCAATGTGTGAAAACGGTTTTATTAGAAACTGAAGGATTACAAAATATGTATTTATCACCTTTAAAAGAGTGATAAATAAACATTCTGGAATCAGCTGATGGAACCAACAGCTGATTCCAGCTGCGCTCTCCGCGGATGTTGATGTTACCTTTATGGGACATAGAAGTCCATCATGTAGGACAAATCTGTGTGTGATGTCTCCATAGGGGAGGAAACTGTCGACGCCGCGCGCCTAATTTCGCTTTTCTCTCTCTAATGAACGGGGGCCCAGGGGACCGGCTCTGGCCCGGGGCGGTAAGCTGACACTGGAGCGCTGTGTGTGGTATCCAGAGCCGGGCTTGATGGAAAAAGCCTGCTTCCACTCATGTCAAAGTCATTTACTCAGAGCACCCCCCCTCCTCCTCACACACACACACATACATGCACGCACGCACGGCCGAGACCACCACCTCCACATCTCTCACACTCCTCGCCCCGCAGCCCGGCACCGCCACCGTTTGTTTTTGTTATCCTCGGGACGAATTTTGGGAGGAAATTAGGAGCAAATAATAAAGAAGCTGCATCTGGGTGAGGCGCTGGAGCGCGCCAAACACGCAGGGAGGAGCTGCAGCTTGTGGGAATTTTGAAACGATTTTAGGCCTTAAACACGGCTTCATTTAAGGTGGAGCGCGTGAGGAGGGGGGGGGGGCGCTGATAGGGGTGTCTGGGGGAGGTTTGATAGATGGCCTAATAGTCCATTATGGGAGAGAAGTAGTGGGTGGGAGGAGAAAAGACGAGGCGAGGAGAGGAGACGGTGAATGGACGTGAGCCAGATTTGGTGTGTGTGTGTGTGTGTGTGTGAATGGGGGGTGGGTGGGGGTGGGGGGTGGGGGGGGGGTGTTTGAATTCGTCCCTGATTTCAGAGATTTCTGAGAGCGGATAAGGAGAAAGGGAGGGGGGCTGCGAGGGCTCCTGCAGAGGGAAGACAGATTTATGAAACGGGAGGTCCAGCTTTGTGCTTTCCTCCGTTAAGGAGGTCGGTTGCCACCAGGCGCGTCACACAGCCCACTCAGCGCCGGGGTGACACCCAGTGGAGCCCCAGAGTCGAGCCGCAGCGCTGGACACTCAGTCTCCAGTGGATAACCAGCTCCCCCCACTCTCCCTTCCTCTTCCTCTGTCAGTGCGCACCCGCCGTGCGTCCTGCATGCGTCAAAGCAGCACCGTGCGTAACGGGAGAGTCGTGCGTAACTGGAGACAGGTTTCTCTCCATTTTGCGCTCGAATTCTGGGGACCACTTGTGTAGCCACTCACTTGCATCGACGCGGACAGCTGGAACTCGCCCCGCAGCGCGTCTCCTCTCCCTCCCTCTCTTTTATCTACGCCAGTTGTACGTCAGAGCTGACATGACAACCGAGACCCCTCAGCAGCAGCTGGACCCTCCGCCTCCTCTGAGATCCAGCCCGGCGTCCGGCGTCCTGCACTCCGCCATGCTGAGCTCACAAGCCGCCACGGAAAGTTCGTCCACGAGCGTCAAAGGGAAGAAGACGAGCTCCGGTTTGAGGAGACCGGAAAAGCCGCCGTACTCCTACATCGCGCTCATCGTCATGGCAATCCAGAGCTCCCCCACCAAACGGCTGACTCTCAGTGAGATCTACCAGTTCCTGCAGGCTCGCTTCCCGTTTTTCAGGGGTTCTTATCAGGGCTGGAAGAACTCCGTGCGGCACAATCTCTCCCTTAACGAGTGCTTCATCAAGCTGCCCAAAGGGCTGGGGCGGCCCGGGAAGGGACACTACTGGACCATCGACCCGGGCAGCGAGTTCATGTTCGAGGAGGGCTCGTTTCGCCGCAGACCCAGAGGCTTCCGGAGAAAATGTCAGGCTCTGAAGCCCATGTACCGGATGATGAACGGAATTGGCTTCGGGACGTCGATCCTCCCGCAGACCTTTGACTTCCAGGCTCCGTCCGCCACCCTCGCGTGTCACAGCAACAGCTACAACCTGGACATGATGAGCAACTCCATGGCAGGGGGATACGACGGGCTCAGCGGTGGCCACCACGTCCCACACATGTCCCCGAGCCCCGGATCCACGTACATGGCGAGCTGCCCCGTGCCCCCGAGCGGAGAGTACGGGCCGGACAGCAGCAGCAGCCCGGTACCGTCCTCCCCGGCCATGGCCAGCGCGCTGGACGGACACTCTCCGTACGCCAGCACATCCGCGCACTGGGCGTCCTCCAGCGGCTCCCCCTACATTAAACAGCAGCATCTGGCCTCCAGCACCCCGGCGTCCTCCGGATTGCACTCCGGCATGTCTCACTACTCCCTGGAGCAGAGTTACCTGCATCAGAACGGCAGAGACAGCCAGTCCTCCGAGCTACCAGGTACCAGACTCCGCTAAATACTTTATTATAACTATTTCCACAACATCCGCAGTTCAGTTTTATTGGGAATTTCTCTAATTAAAGTTTAAATCTGCAGCAGAAACACGGCAGACAGACACGCATTAATTATACATGACATTTGCGTGAAAGTCTGATTTAAACGACGTTTAAATGAAGGTTTTATTTGTGCAAGAATACTTGAATGTGTTTCAGTTTAATATTTGTAGTTTTTCCGTGAGAAATTGTCAGTTTAAGAGTTTAAAATTGTGATCATATTTTAGATTAGATTAAAATATATATATAAATATTAAATACGTTTGGATTCATGACCTAAATGAACTCTAGACAAAAGCTCCGTTATTCAGACATGTTATTAATAATTTGAAGCCAGTTCACAAAAATATAAATAAATGAAAGATTATTATAATCTCATCCGCCAGATATTGCAGATCCTCCTTCCACATCTGGATCATCTGATCCAGAATGTTTTGTCTAATTAACTAATATAAGTTCTGACAAGAACCCAACGAGGTCTGGAGGATTCTCAGGCGAGGGAACCAGGCCGGAGCCCGAACGGGTCCCAGAGGTTACCCAAGCAGGCCGGGCAGGTCGGACCACACCAGCGGTGGGTCCCCGCCACGAGGGACGGAAGGCCTCGTTAAACTTGCAGCGTTCAGACAGAGGCTGCGCGGACGACGCAGGCGCGGTGACAGCGCTGTCAGTCAGAGAGAGGGTGGTGTCGGCTGCCGTGGCCCGGAGGATGAAAACATTCACATCTGGAGCCCTGTGACCCCCCCTCCCCTGTCCTCAACTCATTTCTGCTTGAAATAGTAGCTCGTCAGAACCAGCAGGTCCATTAAAATAATAGTAATAATAATAATAATAATAATAATAATAATAATAATAATAATAAAACAGGGTCAGACATGTCAGGGAAAATGATCAAAAGATAAATCAGATCAAATCGAAAATTCTAATCACAAAAAAGTCATGGAGCAAATCCAGCAAAATATTATTTTATTTATTTAAAATTAATACATTCCAGTTCAAATGGCGTTGAATCAAACGGAGGCTCTTGTTTTTATTTTCTGATCAAATTAAAGAAAATATTATCTTCAACAGCTCACCTATTATTATTATTATTATTATTATTATTATTTAGGGGAATTGTTTAGATGCATTTTTTATTCCACGTGTAAGAGAAAATCTCCAACCTCAGGTCGAAATTATTCCTAACGCTTTAACTTAAAGTGAATAATTGACTTAATGGTGGAAGCAGAATGTATTTTTGATTATTCTTGGTGTGTAGATCCATAATTAATCCTGAAATGTGTGTGTGTGCGCGCGCGCACGTGCTCCCGTGTCTCCGCAGTGGGGATTCCGCGCTACCAGAGCCACTCGTCGGTGTGTGACCGGAAGGATTTTGTGTTGAACTTTAACGGGATCTCGTCGTTCCACCCTTCTGCTGGGGGGTCCTACTACCACCACCACCACCACCACCACCACCACCCGCAGAGCGTGTGTCAGGACATCAAACCGTGCGTGATGTGAGCAGCGGAACTCCATCACATCGGAACAGTCACGTGGACATCTTGGCCTTTTTATTATTATAATTATTATTTTTGTGTTATTTTGTAATTTTGAAGGATTGTCACGCGCTTGCCTCTCACACCAATGAAGGGCATGATTGAAGACCCCCCCCCCCCCCCCCCCGGCCTTTGGTAAAACCACTTTGCCTTAATTCAGCCTGAAGAACTTTTGTCTTCAAAGGAAGTTTCAAAAACTTGCTTTTTTCACGTGTTTGTGTCTGTAAAACACACACACACACCATTTATACTCCATGTAACTATGTTTTATTATAACACACACACACACACACACACACACACACACGCACACACACACACACACACACACACACACACACACCGCTTTAGGCTTTCGTGACCTACAACAAACCTTTTGCACTTATTGTATAACCTTTTTTGTGTCTTGTAAAATGAATCAATAAAGCTGATATATATTTTAGGCTAACTTCTGTTTTTATATGTTTAAAAATTGCAACAGAAATGAAATTTAGGTTAAAGGGTGAATAAAAAAGTTTGTCAGAAACAGAATTGATGTGCAGCCTGACTTATGCAGGAGTAAATCTGCCTTCTTTAACCCTTTAACCGGAGGTCAACAGCTCATTTTTAACCCCTTTATCTTATTGAGACACTAAAGCAAACAATTAAGTACAAAAATTATAAAATAGGAAGAATTTAGAAGAAAACGTTAAACGTGGCTTCATTCCTCTATTATTATTATTATTATTATTATTAACCCTTTGGTGCATAATGGTCACTACAGTGGACAGGTACTCAAAATTGTTATTTATTTGTTTTTTGCTATTAAGCACATCTATTGAAGACTTTATTGCACGTGAGCCCCTCATTTTGGACTTCAGTAAGGCAAGCCAACATATTTGATGTTCAGAATGCACGCTGTCCACTGAGGTGGACGTGTAATAAATTATTTGTAAATTATTAAATGTTACAAAAACAATTGTTGAAATGTGTTTCATTCACACCTGAAGAAGAATGAAAACAATTGTTAAAAATCATGGTTGAAGATTTCATAATTCATGCATCAAAGGGTTAATATTAATATTATTATGCTTTTATTGACATTTTCTTATTTGTTACAAAAAGAAACGAATTTCAAACACACACACACACACACATACACACACACACACACACACACACACACACACACACACACACACACACACACACACACACACACACGTTACTAATTAGTTTCCAGTCTTTTTACATAGAAAGTTTCCAGAAGTCCTTTAAGTCCTTTTGGGAATATATGTTAATCTTAGCCGGCCAACACAAATTTATCGGGACTTTATTGCTCCCTAGTGAAGGAAAAATGTAAAACAGAAGAAATTAATATTTTTGGTAACACTTTATAACAAGGATCTCTTTGTTAATGTAAATTTGTGCATTATTAGGCATTAATAAACTAATAAAGTATTAATAACTGCTCATCATTGTAATCTAATATTACAGACCTCCCTCCAGCACTTTGTCCTAATCTTACGGACACTTGATGGTTATTAATGTTAATAAAACGACCTTAAAGCGTTACCACTTTTCTTTGCTCGCCCAACGCCAGGATGTTTCTCTGAACTCCATGGTAACTAAAATATTTTGAGTTGATTGGATGAGCAATTTTAATTTCTTCAAATGTATGAGTAAAATTTATTAAGAAATTTAATTTATGAAAACGTAATAATTTCAGTATCAAAACTCAAAAAATTTAGCTAATTGATTGCCTCAATTTTTTGAGTTCTGGGAACTTATTCGGGTTTACAGTGCGGATGTCTACGTTTATTCTCACACGTCTGATTTAGTTTGTCTCAGATCTCTCGTTTAGTTTTTGCAGAGAATCTTTGTCACATGATTCCGCCATTATCTGTCAAAATGCATGTATGAATGAATTATTCATTCATTTAAGAATGTCTGCTGAAACTTTAAAGATGTGTAACAGCGGCGTGGTTATTTTTATTTGTTTATGTCAGACAGGAGATCTCACCAAAGGGCACTTCACTACAATAACACACGGAGTCACGCTGCGAGTGAGCGCAGGACGATTGGACCCTAGATGCAGAACACCACAGTACTCGAGGCTGGAGAGGTCGTTTAAATACAAAAAAATCCTTTTATTAGGATGAGAACTCAAAAACAAAGACTGTAGGACTCAAGGTCAAAAAATCTAAAGTTCCAAAGTCGAAGACAAAAGCTCACTCATGAGCCAGATCCTATAGTTTACTAGAGAGGGGGGAACAAACAACGCTGACAATGAACCAACAAACACTGAGACAGGGACAGGGTTATCCACACAGGGCTGGGGTGATAGGAGACGAGGAGCAGGTGCGTGGGGAATAGGGTACAGGTGAAACTAATAACAGAGAGGAGGAGAACGGAGCAAGCGAGGAAAGCAGACCTAACTGGGGAAGGGAACACACACACACACACACACACACACACACACACACACACACACACACACTAGGAACTGAAATAACATAGAAACTACGGTGGGGAGACTAAGAGAACATGAGGAAAACCTGGAGGGAGCTGGGGACAAAAAGGGACACGACACACGGAGACTTCAGGAAAACGCAGCTTTTTAATTGGTGTGTTATTATCCTGAAGGCATCACTGCCGCCGCAGGGAAACGTCTATTATTTTTGTGTGATTTGCTCCAAAATAGAAGAGAAATGGATGGTTCTGGTTTGTGTTTCACCAAATGAGTTCTAGCAGAGACGTTCTCAAAGAAATGAGCAGAAGAAGAACATTTAAATGTGAAAGTCTGATGAATTTTTAGCAGAATTCAAAAGTTTCTTCCATAAAAATGAAAGCAGGAACATTAGCAGACTTGGCTTTGTGGATTTGGAAAGTGTGAAACATCTTCACAGCTCCTGCAGCTCGTCTGCAGCCTCAGCTCAGGCCCGACTGACACCAAGCTGCCTGGAACAGGACGTCTGATCTGAGACGGTTTAAAGGTTCAGTTTCTTACTTGTGACAAAATGTTTCCTCTCATTGTTTATTTTTGAAACCAAACTGTTCTTGTTTTTTTTAGGCCAGAGCAACTTTCTCGCAATCTGAAAGAAATATTGGAAAGGCAAAGAGTTTCAGACGATGATTTGATGTAAAAACTTGACAAAGCATTTGATTTCTCTTTGATTCTGACAGAAAGGTTCCACGTGAGAACGTGAGGAACCCTGATGAACTTCAACAGCAGAAAATAAGAACCGAGCTGCAACTCTTCATCGGTGCCGAGCCCCTCAAGATCTGCTTTTAATTAACTTTCAGGGTCAGTGTGAGGAAAACAGCAAGATGAAAGTATTTCATTGAGTTGAAACTTTTTAGTGAGTCCCAACGTGGTTAATAAATCAAAAATCAGCTGAAGGACAAAAAGCAGGTGGACATGAAAGCCTGGGATCCTCGTTTTCTGGAAAATCCTCTAAGATTCACTAAAAGTTTCTCCTGTTGATGACTTTTTAGGAATAAAAATATTTCAGTTTAAAGGGGACACCGCCATCTAGTGGTCAGGAAGAGTACATCATAGAGAGATGGACATGCGGGGAACTCGCGCGCGCACGCGCGCGCGCGTGCGTGTGTGTGTGTGTGTGTGTGTGTGTGTGTGTGTGTGTGTGTGTACTTTTCTTTATATGTTGATGTGGACAAATTTTAACCTGTAACGTGTGGACATTTCCACATCGAGGGGACATTTTGCTGGGCCACATGATGCTAAGCACTCTAAAAGTTAAGTTAGAGGTTTGGTGTGAAGCTTTTAGTTTAGCTTTGTTTAGATTAGGATTAGGAATAGAACCCCACTGGTTATGGTAGTTGGCCAAGTGGTGTTCTCCAACAAAAAAACGAAGACTCCAGCTAAAATAGGCCCAACCAAATGTTGCATTGAAAGTGAAGTTGCTCCAGTTGATATTCCCCTGCTTCTGAGCAAGATGTCACTAAAAGAGCAGGGACAGTCCTGGACATGGAAAATGGCAAAGTTGTCATGTTCAAACAGCAAATGCCTCTTGAGCTAACTACTTCCGGACACTACTGTGTGGATGTTAGGGATGATAATGATGCAAAAGGGAGATGCAATCAAATCAAATCAAAGATACTTTATTAATCCCAGAGGGAAATTAGAGTTTCAGTACACACAATTCAGAGATCGGACATACATGGGCAAAGACACATGACAAGAATTGGTGACTGTGGTCATTCGCAACCCTGAGTCGTGCTACCTTAATAGAGATCAGAGGGTTACATGAGGATTGGTTCAGGTGGAGGGAAAAAAAGGCACTTCAGAGTTACCCTCCCACCAGGAGGGCAGCTTTGCTCTGCAAGAAAACACCTCAGACAGATATGCAACAGACTTCAGACAACACAACATAAGTGTCCACTAGGTGGGTTGGTGGGTTTGGGACTATCCCCACTTCAGTTCCTGCAGCCACGGTAAGCAGCACATGTCACCTCAGTGTGGATAGGGGGAGGGTTGCAGTGACCCTGGAACATTTCAGCGGCTTTCCCGCAGTCCTGCCCAGGCTGGGAAAGGAGGCAGCATTGAGTTGCCATAGCGACAGCACATTCCACATATCTTCTGAGGGGGGGAGTTTTCGTTGTAGCCTTGCAGGCGCAAGGACGCCAGATTCCAATTAAAATGGTAAATGGCCTGTATTTGATATAGCGCCTTCTAGAGTCCTGTTCTGGAACCCCCCCAAGGTGCTTTACAACACAATCAGTCATTCACCCATTCACACACCCATTCACACACTGATGGTGATGAGCTACAATGTAGCCACAGCTGCCCTGGGGCGCACTGACAGAGGCGAGGCTGCCGAGCACTGGCACCACCAGTCCCTCTGACCACCACCAGCAGGCAACGTGGGTTAAGTGTCTTGCCCAAGGGCACAATGACAGCAACAGACTGAGTGGGGCTTGAACCTGCAACCTTCCGATTATGAGGCAAGCACTTAACACCTGTGCCACCGTCGCCCATTGTTAGAAATTGTTTTGGGGCCAGACAGAGATAATTTCCTCTCTGTCTTACAGTTTGTTGGTCCTCAACCTCTCAAAATCCCAATAATGGACGTTAATCTATCCCAATCCGTGCTGATTCGTCCACTCAATCCTTGATGG